CCTTACTAGTAGTAACAAGAAGCTATTAGGAACAAGTGCCACGCTACAACAAGGATAACTCATTCATCATACATAAGTCCACGCATACCAAAGGCAAGCACGTGTCCTTAAACGGTCTGCTCGCTTGTGAAACGTGTTGGCTTGGAATTGACCATCTTTGGATTCTATCAACCCACAGCTTGGGCTGCTCAACATGCGAAGTCTTTTTTTGAACCTTGGAGCATGTAGTTGGGTGTGTTGGTGCTGAATTCAACATTGTGGCAATAATAGTACTAAGAGCCTTTTATGCCTTGGCAATCTTGCCAAATTGACCACAGGCAGGTGGAATGGTAACACTGGGCGAAGCTCCTTATGCCGGAGAAACCTGCCAGGCTGGTTGGAATTGGGAAAGAATTGGAGTTGAAGAAATATGGACATGCTGACAAAACAATACAAATAAATTGAGGTGATTGAGGAATTGGATGGAATTGGTACAAAACAGCAAAGATGTTTGTCTCAGTTTTCGAGGTTCAACGGTGTTTCAGTCATTTTAGCCTAATGTGGTGCCATGCAGCAGCTACAGGCCTTCGCAGTTGGTCGTGAGCTTCCGGGTGTGGCTTAGCTACATCAGTGGCGCAGTAATTGACTAGGAGACTTTCTAGCAATTCTTACATGTTTGAAGTAGCGAGGCAGTGAGCCTTATTGACTAGATAGAAGGTCTTGATCAGCTCAAGCTACCACCTCTTGCACTAGGTACAGCTGGAGCTTCTTCCAATCAAACTTCCAGTGACTTGCCTTGCTTCGACAGTTTGGGTCACTTCTTCGAGGGTTTCAAAGATATTCATCTACCAAAACAACATATATAAAAGACCATATAATATACATTAATAATATAATATATATATATAGTTTATATATAGTTATATATAGAGTCAATGCAAATCTGCTTGCTCAGCCATGAGGATGAGACTGAAACATCCTTTGGCTCAGACAGCCGCCCAAGGACGATGTGGGCCCTTTGGAGGTTTTGGGATCGACCAAGGCGGAAAGCTCCCGTTTCGAAGTCGCCAGTGCACTGAGTTGACAAAAGAGTCAACATATTCAACAACTATTTGCGCATCGTTTTCGTGTGATGGATTTCTCCCCCATTTTGTTGGTGGAAGCTTCGTTTCGGCTGAAGATTCACAGAAGACGTGGGCTGAACCCAATTGCAAGGCTCTCGCGCAAAGAAACAGGCATCCCATGTAGCACATTTCTAAGAATTGGATCCACTACCGAGAGCGGACGTTACGAGGACGCGCACCTATCACATGAAAGGCGGCAGGCTGACTTCAATTTGCAAAGAAAAAAGTTCTAAATTCACCCTTTCCTTTTTAGTCAGGGACCGGCGATAAATCAGTGAACACAGTGACTTTAGCTGATGTTTGCAAGGTGTCCGTAAGGTTTGCCGTAAGGATGTGCAGGTTTGAACGATGCCGCAAGGCTACCGGAAGCGAAGTTTGTTTACTTTGATTCTGTTTCCTTTCCTGTTTTGCAATAACATACTACATGTGACCACAGTGAACTTGAATACCTCCGCCGTGAGCACAACGTAAGAATAGCCATGCATACATGTGCCACCGTAAGAAAAACATAGAAAAAACGTAAGCCTTGCGTAAGGCCTACCGTAAGGTTTGATTTCTCGGAGAAAAGACACCACAATTTTGAACACCGCTCATTTTTTTGGGGATCTGCCCAGAGGCAACCGAAGGGTTTTGGGGTAGGCCAAAGGTTGGGCAAGGATTGGAATGTTGGTTGTGCGAAGCTTTGGTGCCGGCCTCGTCTGCATCAATTGAATGCTTGCGAGGTCAGAATGAAGACTGGATGAAGACGAATTGACAAATTTTGATGTTGGAGTATGTTGGAGTCAACCAATGGTCGTAGAGGAAAGCACTGGTTGAAGGTAACAACAGGAAGCGGATGTTAGGAAGCGGATGCAGGAGGCTGAAGGTCAAGGAATCAAGAAAGAAGTTAGACACAGAGGCTGGATGGAAAGTAAGCCAGAAAGAGAGGTTGGATGTAGAAGAGACAGGTCAAAAGGAGGTTGGAAGAACTCGCAAGAAAAGGAATTGGATGAAGATGAGATGGATGAAGGAGGGGACTTGGAAGGTCGAGGTCAAACTGGGAGGTTGCCCATTTCCACAAAGCTCTGCAATGAAGCTAACTACCTTCGTGAACTACCTTCTCACGTCAACAGTTGGCTTTCAATTTCAAAAGCACATGAGGCGAGAATTGAGCTTGGCACACTGCGAATCAAGGGCCTTTGCACGGACGAGGTGCGAATCAAGTGGAGCAGTAAATTGTGAAGCTATCTACTAAGTGATGTGGCCCTGTACCTAAGTGCTCAGCATTCGGGCAACTTTCTCTGAAAAGCTGTGAACACTTCAAGAATGTCAAGCATAGAGAAGATGCTCGTTGAATGCTGCTACTGTACTTCATCATTGGTCTACCGTCTGCATGACTTCTGATGATTTCTACTGTACAGTTCTACCTGAGCCCTGAGTTTTTGTTTGCTTGAGGCACGGATAGGCATTGTGGTGGGCCGCAGAAAGAGGGAACTCTTTGTCTACGGCCGCCTGGTGTCACTGCAGGCAAAAGGGGGCGCGAGTGAGTTGGATGGGCGGATTCTTTCAAGTCATCATCAGTCATTTTCACATTGTTCTGAGATGTTTTGAGTAGACATCTACTCTTTGTCCGAAGCTTGGGAAGACAAGTTGAGCCTTGTTGAGTCAAACTTGTGCCTGATAGGAGTCGTGCAACAAAAGCGGAGCCCTTTGCGAAGCATTGGAGCAGCTCTTGTTGCAGGCGTGACTATGCAACGACATTGTTGTGACAAGATGTGTTTCCCCACGCTGATCTTCGCATCTTGTGACTAGAACGGACCAAAGTGACAAACTGCTTGTTGTTTTCTCTTCTTAGTAAGGTGTGGTTAACTCCAAGACCAAAGACTCACAGGTGGCTTGCGGCATAAGGACAATTCCTTTTACTGCACCCTTTGGGACAAAACAATCTGTATATGCATATCATTGCCTTCCCATCCATCCATCCGTATCATATGCCCGTACTTATGATATTCTTGACTTGGTGTAACATGCGAATCAAGTCAAGTCGCCACAGAGGCGACTTGTCGTCGTTGGAAGCCCAACTTTCGACCATGTGAAGGGAGGGTTCGTTCGACGTAGGGTCTGGCCAGTTCGTCGCCAAGAACGTTTGAGCTGCTGTCATGATAGTAGCCTCTTAGTCTTATGCATGAACATGTAGAAAAATAGAAACACTGTAGTCACGCTATGTCTATTTGCATAAACGAGTGTTTTGTTTGGAGGTCACTGGACCTTGGCTCATGCAACTGCTCCTGGTGGCCAAACCCCTTGGCGTGGTGGGCGTGGCAGCCGTGCGCTTGGACGAGGTTTGGCGGTGCCTCGGTGGCCACTTTGCGAGGCCAAAAGCGTGGGCTTTGCGGGCGAGCCTGCGGCAAGACCTGATTCATTTCATTCATCCGTGCTTTTGCTCTCTTTTTCTTTACCAAGCTTTACCAAGTAGCGAAGAAACACAAGCTATGGCTATGATCGCTAAGCGGTGCCTCCTCACAAGCTATGACTTAGAGGGGAGTTATGTGGAAAGCTGAGTCGTGCACAAGTCTCCGGCTGAGGCTGGCAAAGTTCTGGAACATTGACACTTACAGCGGTGAAGTGGGCAGCTCAGTCGCTGGTTGGCCAAAGCTTCGATGAGAGTGTTGAGAAGCTACTGGAACGGTGTGATTTGGGTTGAGAAGTGACAGGAAGTCCAGAAACGTCCTTAAGTTTTGATCCAGAAGTGATGCTTTCTTGTTTGACTGATCCAGGACCTTTGCAGAGATCGACGAGTCATTGCTTTGTGCCTACGCGAGCTACGAAGACATGCGAAGAGGCCAGGCCAAATTCTAACGAAGCCTATGAACCAAAAGGCCACAGCCAGATGCCAAAAATTCCATTCGTTGATACCTGCGTACCAAAGTTTTTGGTTCTGGTGGTCTCAGAAGGATCGCAGTTGAGAAAGCCGAGGGCCACGCGCCGGGGGATTTGTTTACAGTGCGATACCCACTTGCGAGGATAATGTACGAATGGCTCACAACCTGCAATGCTATTGAAGCCGACTCCATCTACCAGCGCCTTACTAGTAGTAACAAGAAGCTATTAGTAACAAGTGCCACGCTACTAGGAACAGGTGCCTTACTAGTAGTAACAAAAAGCTACTAGAAACAAGTGCTTTAATGGCATTGCAGGCGCGGGAGAACATCCCCTGCTCTTGTGGGAGTCAACAAACCCACGTGGCGTGTCACCTACCAGGAAACAACTCCCTCGCTTACTCGCGCCTTCAGTTCCAGGTTTGGCTTCTCTGAAGCCGAGACTCCACAGGCGCTTCATTTGCAGGCCACACCCTTTTCTTTGGAGGCCTGGTTGGTATGTTCTCAGCAGTTGCATTTGGTTTGTGCAAGCGGAACTGTTGAGTCAACAGGTTTATCATTGATTTGGTCAATTTGGGCTCGTGGTTGTTGGGCGGTGATGGCCAAACACTTTTCTTGATGCCCCTGAGCCAAACCAAAGATGGTTTGTCCATTTTGGTGATGGTGCGCAACACCAAATGCACAAAATGGGCATGAATGAAGCAAACATCTGAGAGAAACCTTCCAGAAGCGAAAGTAGGATTGGACGGCTTGGTAACTCCCTCCATATGCATTTTCTGTTGACAACGACTGCGGCAGCTGCCAGGCTGGGCTACAAACGCCTACCTTTCAATTGAGAAGAGACCAGCTGCTTCCCAGAGTCAGTCACATCATCGAGTCACTCTATGAAGCTTGCTCTGAAGGGTTGGGGAGTTTGTGATTCGCCTTGAAGTTTTGGCCCTTGAGTTCCAACGGAAAACTTCATGACACCATTCGCAGATGTTAGAGCTGCGAACGTGCAGAAATGCTGCGTCACATGGTGCCAGCTGGAGGCAATTTGTAGCTTTTCTGGTCCACGGCCAACACATCGAATCTGCAAGCCCAATCTGATGTTGTGTGCCAATTGCATTAGTTTTCAGATACATTTTCCAGGGGTAAGGGGTGCTTTGCTAAGGACAACTTGGATGCATCGCCGGTATCTCCACTACAGAAGGCATCTCAGAGTGTGGAGAGGGCACTGAAAGCACCTATCGCCGTTGTTAGCTGTGAATATCTGGTGGCATTGCCCAGCAGACTGGATATGCCAGGAGCCCTTCGTCGGAAGACGCCGTGGCTTTTTTGACATTTCCAAGAAGGTGTCACTTGGAAAGAAAACATCTTGACGCATCAACCGGAAAGAGAATGGCAAGTCAGAGGTTTTTGGTGCAATTATGTTTGTGAGGAAGCTAGTCTTCGAAGGGTTCACTGCCCAAGCTGTAATTAGCTGCTTCCACAAGCTCAAGACTCCATGCCAAGGTCATTTCCAACCCTGGAAGGCATTTGAGCATTGCCAGGTGGGCGTGGCACTACTTGTTCTTTTTTGAAAAGTCACTATTGCCTCCGAAAGATACATGAAACACAAAAATCGCCTGATCGTCAGGTCGAAGGAATTCTCGGCGGATGATGCTAGATTTCATATCATCAAGCCAAGGTGGATGTTTCGAGAAAGAGCTTGGAACAAAAGGGCGTTGGTGCTGGGAACAGTCGACCCAAAGCACCATGGATTCTGGATGGAACCTTTAGGTTGTTTGGTTTCAGAAACGCCCACCTCTGCCGAGCTGTTTCACTGCGGTCACCAGCCGCTCTGTTAGGCACTCACAGCGGCCTCTTTTTAGCCTGTGACCGTCCCAGTTTTCGGATGCTGACAAAGAGAGGCTTCCTCCGGTCGCAATGAGCAGCAGCTGAGCTGGTCTCTGACTGGCTGACTCCCCGTGCTTGGCACGAAAAAGGAGAACAAGTCAACAGACATCGAAGAAAGTACAGGAAAGACAGACAGCCAAGGTAGTTTCGATGTGATTGAAAGGTAGTTTCGATGTGATGGACTCAGCTTCTTCACTCGCTCAATTTTTGTAGGTCTTTGGGGATCGTCCTGCCATCTATCCCCGCCACTTGAAGTGCATTATAGGGACAGGACATGTTGCTTCTATGCTATGGGGTTGTTGGATGTGGTTGGGGCCTTTCATTGTGTGAGCCAAAGGCGGTTGGTTGCCAGATGCGGCGGTGTGAAAGATCCTGGCCGAACTTCGAACAGGTTTTGTGCAATGGTCCGAACCAGTAGAACGATCCTATCGAGGTTCTCGCATGTTTTTTCGGATTGGTCTAATTAAACTGAACAAGTTGGTGCTTTCTCCAAGATCCTTCTTCAATGGGAACCTGGGAGGATTTGTCTTTCCAAGTATATAATACTGTATGTTTGGAACCCTTTTGGTTCACGTCTTTCCTTCTCTAGGTCAATTCCTTGGTACTTGGTGGAGTTTCCTCTCTTACACGGTATTGTGCTTGTCACCTCTCAGCTGAACCTTTTCCTGGCCTTGTCCTGGAGACCTCGCTGACAAGATCATGCCGCCGCACTAGTCATGTACTGTTTGTGCTGTATACAACTCCGGGAAACCGTGCACACAAATAGACAAACATAGATGGGGTCTTGTGTTTAACAAAAAGTATTTGACAAGACCGCGCGGACCGACGTAATAATATTTGCTCGCAAGAAACTCCGACTTGGTTGGAAGAGGACCTTCGTGACGTCAGGCTTTAAGCTTGCCATGCCCTTTCCACAGATCTCCTCTCAGAAGACGTCCTTGCCCTTGCCACGTGACAGGCTCGGATTGTTTTTTGTCATGCGTGTGTCTTGCCGATTTCATCACTACATGAATGTCGATTTACACAGGGAATGACCCGGGTTGCCGGAGGACCTTTTTGGCCGGTTATCCAGTGCGGGCAGCTTTTCTTCAGCCAAAGGAGCTAGATTCAGCTCTCGGACCTCGTCGACTTGAAAATGCCTGCTCTTTGCAGGATGACAACCTTATTCAAGAAGAAAAGACAAAAATCGCTCCAGCTGGCACCAAGGCTGGTTGTCTCTTGAGCTCGGGTGGAAATCGTTCACAGCCTCCAGAAGCATGTGGTGGTATGTATGTAACTGGATCAGATGTGGATCATTTCCCAATGGGATGCAGTTTCTGCATATGGAACTGTTCAGTTCTCAGAGACACGGGCACACCATGTGACATGCAATTGGCACCTGGGGTATGTGATATATAGCTTTTTCCTCTTCCCCATGATTCCTGCTATGAGTTGCATGGGCTGCGAAACATTGTTTTTGCATGTACAATGCAATGGGTCGCCAAGTTTCAAGACCGGAAGCTGCGCTGGCTCAGAGGGAGTCAAAGCCATGACAACCTTAGGAGGTTGCTTTGGACGCAACCAGAAACTGTAACTCAAGTGGGTCAGACTTTCTGTGTGTGTATATACATATATATGTATCTATATGTAGTATATCATATAGTATTGATATCCTTGACGAAAACATTTGTGCATGGTAGAAAGAAGTGGTCACTTCCAACACATCAGGCCTTGTAATTGTAGACCAGACAGAAGCAAAGAAGCTTTGACATGATGTCCGTCTGAGGCTATCTTTGCGCAGCTGTATCCGTCCTCTTCTTCGGCAGCAATTTTGCGGTCCTCGGACTGGATGGGATGTGATGAAAACTGGATGGAATGACAGGACACCGAAGACGAAACATCTCGTCCCCCTCGGCATCGATGCGGGCGAGGTGGTGGCAAAATACGATGCGGGCGATGGCATGCTCTTCCAGCTCGTGTTCCCTGGGCTGGATCGGCGGAAGCGACGTCCGCGACCGGTCGCTTCGACCTCTGACTCCCCGCTGTGTTACAGTTCAGAGTGCCAATTTGCTGGCACTTTAAAAGAGTGGCCCTCATCCGAACCCTTATACTGGGGTACGATGGTCGGGCATCCCAACTTTGCAGTATTTTCAAAAAGCAGGAACATTGCTGAACATAAGCCCTAAGGGCGTTAGTGGTTGTTCCCCAATAGCGATAGCTTAGGGTTGTACATTCTTTAGGCCGCCGGGCGCGGATCCACGGCCCCCAGCCTGGGCGGTGGTGTCCCGACAGTCGTTGTTGGGCAGAGTCTCGGTCATGTTTCACTCATGCCTTAGTAGCGATGCCCTTTGTTACTGCTAGCTTCTTGTTACTAGTAGTGCGGCCAGGAGCCCCTAGTAGCATCCTTGCTCCTAGTAGCGATGCCAGGAGCCCCTAGTAGCGTCCATTGCTCCTAGTCATGTTGAGATAATGTTTTTGCCTCCTTGTTTGGTGGTGTGTCGCTCATGTTTGGGTGGTGTCTCGGTTATGTTTCGCGGGTGTCTCGGTCATTGGTGGTGTCTTGGTCATGGCTTGGTTTTGCCTCGGTATATACATCTATTATGGCTGCATTGCTTTTTGCAAGTCTGTGTGTGAACTATGGGATTGCACTTCAACATGTCTTGCTTTTTGAAAGTTGTGCTCGATATTCCATATGTGAAAAATAATCGAGCAACACGCGCCCAAAGTATTCGCCAAATCTTGGTGGATGCTTTGCTATTGGGGTTGTCAGCTGGGTTAATTGGATCTCCTGTATATATGATTTTCTTTATTCAAGCCCGAAAATGACTATGTATTCTATTGTATTATGCGCAAATTCTTACACGCTTTGACACCTTCCGAAAGACTGCAGGTTGTGCCTTGGAATTTGGTTCACTGGCCTTTGCGTCATGGTGCCAAGAAACCCTGCTTTCTATCCAATCGCTCCTCGCTAGCAACACAGGATTTGCCACTAGCACCCCTGGAAGTTGGTGCAGCGGTAATTGCTCGACTCGTGTCGAGGCGATGATTGGAGGTGTAATTTGGTGCAGCGGTAATTGCTTGACTGTGTACATCATCCAGCAGATTGGCCTTGGCCCAGGAGCAAACTAGCAAATACAACTGGTATACATGTGCCATGTTCAAAACCGTTGAAACATGTACAGCTAGAAGCTACCAGGTGGAGGCCCTCGCTATTATAGGGTGGAGGCCATTACTACTAGTGACCAAAAACTACTAGTAGCAAAGGGCATCGCTACTAGGAGCAAGGACGCTGCTAGTAGCTCCTGGCCTTACTACTAGAAACAAGAAACCACTAGTAGCTATAGCCACTAGTAACAAATGGGGTTTCACCAGCGACAGGTGATACACATCGGTGACCGTGGTATACATCTACTTCTATAGGACTCGTGACCTGGGGGACCACCGCGCTGATCATTGGTTGGTTGACTGGCTTTTTTGGGCTCTTTGGCCTCCAAAGCGATGCTCGGCCAGATGGTGAGCAGTCAGAGTTCTTTTCCTTGCACGTACTTTGACAGTCCTTTTGTAGTGGGATTATCGCGGACTATGACTATAACTATAACTTTCCTACAGTCATAAACCATCAACCATCCGGAATAGATCATGTTGCACGTGCCTGCAATACCTTTGTTTCTCTCTGACTTGGCATTCCTTTGTTTCGACTATACTGGAGCTGTGGCAGTGACTTTGGAGATCCTTGCAGCATGTCGTACTTTCACCAGGATTTCTTGAGACCTTTTTTTGATGGCAAGAATCAAGAAGAGGCTTTCAGCTTGGGATGAAAGGGCACGACAGCCAATGCAAGGCACTATCCAGTTCAAATGTGCCCCCCTCATAAAACGCACCAATCGTTGCTGTTTCTTGTATTTCTCAGGACCAGCCTTGCTTAGAAAGCCCAGGGCTCAATGTCGTAGGCCGGTTTTGGTGCTTCTGATGTTGTGAATGTCTTTAGGTAATCTTTTCACTATTGATGCGATGGATCCTTGCCCAAAGTCGAAGCGATTCTAGTGCCAGTAACTTGGTTTTGATTTTTTCCATGGTCAACTTGTCAGGCCTTGCCTTTGCCATGGCCGCGTTAGCCGTAAGCACCCTCATCAGGAGCGAGGGTCGAACAGGAGACTGCCATAGTGGCTCTGAAGACAGTAGGTATGGGCCGCATCCAGTGTCTTGTCAATAGAATAGATTGAGGACCTTTGAATTCTTATGTAACAACGGATAGGGTGACAACGGTTGTGACCAAACATGGTTGATGTGGCCCACAGGAAGACACCCCCGCAGAAGCGCTTGCTGGGCCAGGGCAATCCGCCGGAACCAGCTGAGGTGGGCTGCCGGGAGGACACTTCCAAACCTGGAAATGTAGGGCTTTGGTCACTTTGGTTTGTGATCCAGCTTTTTCTTGAGACGGAATGTGAATGCCTATAGCGACTCATTCGCACCTTGATTGACGCCTTTTTCTTCTGACATTTTGGGCGGATCACAGACATGCTTTTACTGAAGGGGCTGGCTGCGTCGGATGCTCCCTGGGATGCTATCCCGCGGCCCGACAGAGCGCAACAGCGTGGAAGGGCCAAGGCTGAAAGACCACAATGACAAAGCTGTGTTTTGTAGAGGGCATCAAGTTGCGGCGTCCCAAGCCGACTTCAAATTTATCAATGAAAGCATCTAAATTCATAAATTGCATTATTTTGTTGGACAAACACTACTATATAATTATATATATATATCTATACTATTATATATACATATGTCTCCTTTTTACTCGTATTTTTGTACAAATACTTTACATGTTTTGCAAGACATTTGCATTATTTGGTCCAACGAGCCGAGATTGGCAAAGGATTGGCAAAGCATCTCTTCGCTTCTTTTTCTTCCGTCATTTGCCTTGTTTGCAGGGCATTCTGGCCAGTTTGATTGCTGGAACTTGCAACCTGTCGGCACAATGTGAGTACTTTGAAGGTGGGAACTGTCAGTTGTTTAGATAGCAAACGATCGGAGACCACTTCAACTTGGGCAAATATGGCAAACCAGGAATGGCTTGAGCAGTTTTGCCGGCTTTTTCTAGCGAAAGACAATACTTGTTGAAAACTCGTTTGTTTGTTGTTGACATGCAAGGCAGCTTACATTCTTTGAAGATCTAGGATGCACTCCTTTTGTTGACAACGACACTCTTTAGCATTCTTTAGCTAAATTCTGCTTGACTTGACTTGTCTCATGGTTTTACAGTGATCGAGGCTATGGGCTAAATTTCCTGCCATCGACATGGATTCAGCAACATGTAGCTGGAGCCTCGCAGCAGGGATTAGACTACGTGCGAAGCCTAGAGTCCCAACGTCACACTAGATGGGCCCTGTCTCAAAATATGATCCAGGGATGCACAGATTTCAGTATGTGTATTTTTTCTGGTACAAGTGAGTTTGAATGGTACATACCCTTTTTTGAGCCACCGACGACCGACTCAAAAGCTCGGCAAGTTGTACAGCTTCTCACTGCATCTCAGCTTCGCGCATGAGGTCTTCAATCAGTCGATAGCTCAGTGTGACGTCCAAGACTTGACGACGCTCCTCGCAGTCTCGCGAATCGGGAGTCGTAACGTCGTGCTAGAATGTGAGTGTAGTACAAGCATGTACAAGCAAACGGTGGTCAAAAGGGGGGTCAATGCCAAGCACTTTTGCAAAACAACAACAACAGCAACAACAACAGCAACAACAACACCACCACCACCACCAACAACAACAACAACCACAACCACAACCACAACCACAACCACAACCACAACCACAACCACAACCACAACCACAACCACCACAACTTAAAACAAAACCAAAACCAGAACAAAAACAAAACAACAGACATCAAAAGGATGTGGACGTAGCTGAGGTTTTGTGGGATTTTGGCTGCGTCGATGCTGTGCCCAAGCGTTGAATATAGACTGAACGACTGACTTTTGAGACAGTGCGTCGTTTGAGTGCACCTTTCGACCAGCTGCTCTCCAGATGTGTGCACACATAGTGAATCCTGGGAATGTATGTGACTTTTTGATGGTGCAGATGTCGCCGAGGTACTTTTTGGTCTATTGCCTGTACAAAGGGAACAAGCCCCAGGTCAACCCTGAGATCATGTTGCCTGGATTCATTTCAGGACACTTGTACATGATGGTACATTTCAGGAAAGGTAAGAGCCTGGTTTGCTTTGCCGAGAAGGATGCAACATGCCTCAAACTAAACATACTCATATATTCATATACATATACATATCCAATTTCAAGAACCGCCATGGAGGAGTGATGTGGGCCATTGCGCAGTCGTGTTGGTTCGTTGCTAACGCAGCTTGCCTGGGCAGAGTTTTCCTTGTGACGAAGACTTTGAAGAGTTTGACCAGACTCTACTAAGAGTTGATTGATGGGCGGACACTTTTCGAATTGTGATCAGAGATGAGTGAACACCATGAGACACTGTCGGTATGAGCAAAAGTCTGTCACAAATCAGAGGCATTGTTCATGACATCCAGATTTGAGACCCAATCACCTTGCCATGCTACAATCAGGTAGAATTGGGATACTCCGCAGCCTTCCCAATTATACTGATTGGACCTGGCCTAATCGGGTCTTTGTGGTCTGTCTTCCTCTTCAAGGCCGGAAGTGAGGTCTTGTTCACAGCCACCACAGTTCATCAGTTGAATCTCTGATCTCTGTCATGTGATCAAAACCATGTACAGGACATTGAAGGCCATAGGCAACTTGGTTTGTTCAGCATTTAACATGAATGGATGGTCTCACTATCATTTAGTATACTGCTTGGACCATCTCGGCTAAGGAACTACTTGCTTTTGGTGGGCTACTTTGTGCTGGCTGCCATCTCATGCGGGTGCATTGTGGCCTCTAGAAAGACGACTTGTAGCTAGCTGATTGAGCTGGCATGCAGGTTACCATTTGAAAGTATGGTCATTCTGTCCTTTTTTGGTTCATGCAGAGGAAAAACTCACATGAACCAATGGGACACCAAAAGGGTGAGCCCTGTTGAGCCGACCTCGACAAGGCACGAAAAGGTGAGCTAGAGGGCGGCAGACAACAGCAGAGGTGTATGATGGCATATGTGTATGGGTGTGGTTGCAAATCCGTCAAAGCAACGATCGCGCGAGAGGCCCTGGCTTTGTGTTAGACGCTAGACTTGATGCATCTCGATGCTAGTAAAACTTCAAACAGTGAACTAAGCTGTCAGGTGGTCCTGGTGATGACTGGCGGCGGCGGCCAAGATGTGTGCGTATCCCAAGATATGATCGGTGGCGGCCAAGACCATGGGTCCTTGTCGTATCACTTTCCTCCGAGGCCCTGGCCAGAGCAGCTGGCAACAGAAGGTGCGATCTTCCGAGCCGAGCTGGGCCAAGCAACTCTGCTCGATTCCGCCACTTCTCCCTGCCGATTCAGACACTCTTGAAGGAGAAGAGAATCAGCAGGATTTGCTTTGGATGGGGAGAGTAAACATAATGAAGAGGCGGTGCAGTGCGCAGACATCATGGGGTGTGCTGTTATGGTGGGGTGTAGGCGAGGTGGGGCAGATGCAGGTGCTCCGGAAGTTTCCGAATCCAGGTTTCTGAATCCCGCGTTGACCCGGCGAAGCGTGGGTCTGCGGTCTGGAGTCTGCGGTCTCGTGTTTTTCTCTAACAGACACGATATTTTAGCTGAGCCTTTTGAATGCACCAGAGCATTTTGATTTGTTTCCACCAGACCATTTTGCATGCACTGGGCCACTGGGCCTTTCACGCCAGGCATTGGGGTGCCCATGCACATTTTGGTCATCGTGGGCAGGAGGGACACTGAGAAGCCCTGAGAATTCATCCGCCTCGGGCCGAGAAGCAGGAATGAGGTGATCAAGACTCGCTTGGAGCACGCCCTGAATACGGTCATCTTCAAAGGCCGGAGGGTCGGGAGCCTCTGATGTGAACATGCTGCAAATTCACCAGTTGCTTTGTTTGCCTTGAAGTGAACATGTCTCTTTTTTGGCAAAGCACGGCTCTCAGTTCCCCAACTTCCTTGGCGGTTCATAGCTCTAGGCTCTAGGATTGGTCTGGGTTTCCAATGACAGATTTCCGATGATTTCCGCATGATACAGGTGTCTAATGAGATCGGGAGACAGAAAGTTCGACCCGGGGAGAGAGGAACCAAGCAGCAAGACCCAGTAGGAACATGTAGGAACCTGGGTTTCCCGATTCTTCGAGCGTCTCCACACTTCCTACCCCTGTGAGGCAAATGGCAAAGTAGGGTGGAGGCCATCACTACTAGGTTGGAGGCTCTCGCTTCTAGGTTGGAGCATATGACTTCTAGTTTGGAGGCAATTGTTATTATGTTGGAGGCCAGCGCTATTGGTTAGAGGTTAGAGGCCATGGCTATTAGGTTGGGGCCATCGCTATTAGGTTGGAGGCCAGCGCTATTGGGGTTGGAGACCATCGCTATTAGGTTGGAGGCCATCGCTTTTTGGTTGGAGGCCAGCGCTATTAGGTTGGAGTCGATCCTCGCCCGACCGTGTTGTCCCAAGGTCCTGCAGGGCGGTGATCCGATGGTCACTGTGGAGGTGGCCAAGACGCCTGGGCGAGGTGGATCCGTCAGTGCTGGTGCTGTTTGAAGTCGCTTGTTTTGGTTGGAAGGCAGTGTCAACCAGTCGAGCAGTAGGTATATCCAGTGTAAACCAAACTGTTTATTAGATGCGCTCGGTCAGGATACAAAGCAGAAAGTCATCCTGTTATCCACACCGTGTACACTTGCACAGCAGGAATTGGTGCAAGGTGCTCTTGTGTGCCAGGGCCGAACGCCACATATGTGAGCGCAGAGCGTTTGGCACTCCTGATGGACCTGGCTGATGCCATCATCGCAAAACCAGGCCCTACGGACATGACAAGTTGAGTTCAAACAGCAATGGTCCATGAACTTGTAAAACGGATCAAACCACATGTGTTGTCACCAAAGGAGGATCAAGGTCCTTGAGCGATGCACATCAGCTCCACTGATCGCAGGTGGGGGCACCACGGCGGAAATCGCCTACCGTGGCCTACCTGCCGTCTTCGATGCCACACAGGGCTTGCTGCACTGGGAGGACCTCGCCCTAAGGCTTTGAGGAGGTTTTTAGGGACGGAAGGATTGGTTTGTGGTCCCGAAGATCCCAAAGCGGCAACTCATGGATGGTGTAGCAGTGTCTTTTTTGGATGTTTCGCGACCTAGACGGTCTGGATTGCCAGGACTTCACAGTTCACACCTTTGAAGATCAAGGCTGGAGCTTGCCTTTCCGCAAACGGTCGAGAGCGAATCTGATGATTCAAAATCTTACCAGCTTGGATGGTTCATTCCTTGCAACTGCTATGCCAGCTTTAATCAAACCTTAGCACCGTGCCCGCTTGCTCGTGCAGCAGAACAGCATGTCCCGTTTCGAGGTTGTGGCGAACGCTTTGAAACTGCAGATGAGCTACCAAGTGTGAGGAAACCCGGAGAGGCGTATGGAAATGGATGGAAATGCCTCTGAGTCGAAGTCTCCACAAATACCACTTCTCGCTCAGGGTGCATTTCGTCGTTAAACACTTCTTTTGGGGTCAAGGAGTTGGCAGGTCAACTCACAGGGGTTAGACCAATCCAAAGAGAGCGTTCGCCGATTCCCACGACCACGGCACCTGCGGCACATCCGACCACACAATGCGACTGAAACAAACCACCCCTATGGGTACGGTGTCTGAGGTGTTGCGAGGAGCCTTGCGAAAAGCACGATCCACAAGACTAGTGGAGGACGACCCGATGTTTCATGATTTTTCCGCGGACGACACTTTTTGCGGGCGACATGAGCCGATGATTTTCAGAGTTATAGGCGGACATGATGTTGCAGGGTTATGCTATGTTATGTCACACGGAGGAAACAAATTCCCAACTTGATTGTTTCTGCAAGGATCCAAGTTTGCCAGGAGAGGTGTTGAACCCCGGGCAGCTCCCTCAGACAGATTTATGGTGGCTTTTCCATCCAGCATCATCCATGCTCAGAGGCAAAGTGTGAATCAGGAGGGGGAGGCATTAGGTTGGAGGCCATTCTACGGTCTTTCTATCGTCACTTGATAGTCCACGCAGTTTGATGGCATGAGGTCATTGGTCCGGGGTCCGGCAACACCATCAGCATGCATTTAACGTGTAGCTGAATGTTCTTCAAGACCAGGGCTCCTTTGCGTGCTGCTGACTGCCGAGGCCGCGTATCCTGGCTGAAATCGAACAGATGCTGGTGGCCTGGCTGCAACAATCAAATCCGACTTGACATATAGGAAATCCTCAAGATGCAATATTTCATTTCACTTTGGAGAGAGCATTTTTTGCTGGATGCACCGCTCGCCAATAAGGTGACGCCATGTGTGAATTGCCAGCTATTTTCCGATACTAACACTTAGCAACAAATTAAAAGAACTGACTATGGATAATATGCTGTAAGTGACATGTTGCTTGTTATGCAAGGATTTTTTTGTTTTATTGAACTTATTCAATAAGCAATGTGGCTGGCGTTCAAGCCTGCCTGCTTAGCAGCTAAACTTTGCCTATATATATATATATAGTTGCATTTTAAGCACGAGCCGAACGCATTTCGACCTCAAGCGACATGTGGGTGGGTAAGCTTCTAGAGGGGCTAGACGGTGAGTTGGTGGTTTGCTTGCCCTCTCCATTGTCTACATCTACCCTTCCTTGGCTTTTCTTTGGCCGCTGCTTTGGATTTCTTTGAGGTATGATTTCCTGCCTTTGGGCCCTCTCAGGCTCCGTCCGGCCCTCTTGGAATTTTGACGCCTCTGTGCATCCTCCTCCTCGTCCTGGCAAAAGGCTGCTGAGGTATTTGAGTCATCTCATTTCCAAAGATGACGTGGATCGCTTGCATTGATAGCCTTGAACAGCTCATGATGGCTGTTGCGTTCAGCTTCAGTCAGCATCCTCGTGGAGGATTGGGGACGGGGTCGGTTGTTAGCTTTCAGTTTTTGGCTGGGCATGGATCCCCTTCAGCTCCGGTGCAGGTGCTGGATGTGTCTCGTAAGTTGGTCTCGAGCAAGATTCCTGCCGCTTTCCACATCGACCGTGCTTTCAAAGCTGGCTATTGGGCAAGGATGGCATTGGTTTTTAGAGCACACAGAACTTTCTAGTGCCTTGGTTCCTCATCCATTCAGGGTGACTTGCCTGATTGATTTGGAGAAGCTGGCGCAGACCGAAGGGCTACCTTCTCTGACTGAGGTCCAGGCTTTTTGTGGGGCTGATATCAGGATCCCTCCCTTGTACCGGGCAAAGTTTGCAGCTGAGGAGGCGTCTTGGTTGGTCTTCAGCGTTTCGGTCCAGGCAGCAGGCATTTGGCTCACTCTGGAGGCTTCTTTGTGTTCTTCAGGATTTGGTGCAACCCCAATTGTATGCTATGCTTCGGATTGTACTTCAATCCCGACGGAAAGATATTTTCAAATTTTCGACCAGGAGACAAGATTGAAGTTCACCGGATTGAAGAGGCTGACGAAGATATGGTTCCCATGGAATAGAACGCTATTGCAATCCTTTTTTGGCCTCGCACCCGAGAATTCCATCTTATTTTAGACTCCATAGAAGACATCATGTGCGGGTTGTTGCTGCTGCTGTTGCTGCTTGTCTGATACGAAAGCCAGCCTTCGTAGAAGGCGCCAGCTGTGTGGCGAACGAAGTGAGTAGTTAGGGGGTCCGGGGGGGGGGTGGTCCGCAAAAGGTATACGTAAACTCGGCACATGCTGGGGGAGGAGGTGCATCGAGGGAAGGTTTGAGGTTGTATTGGAGGTGATTTTTGAGGGGAGGTAATGCAAGAAATAAAATTTGTATCATTTATATTATCTACTTAGGGCAACTATAATATTTGGGAATAGAATTATAATTGCCTTGGGTCCGTATAAATATTATATTAATATATATCTTTATATACTTATATAAATTTAAAAAACGAACGAAATTTGAAAATTGTGCTTTATTATGTATATATAATTCGAAAAATATATATATGTAAATTTTGGGAGGGAATATTTTGATGCTTTTGAAATGGATGATGACGTATTCGCCAATTAGAATATATATCTTTTAATAGGAATTCGAATAATTTAAATTTAAAAGATTTTGAAAATGACGTGGCTC